TGTGTGCGCCGAGATGCAAAATGCTCACCTCAGACGCATGACATTCCCCTTGACCATCGACAATTCACCTGCTTAAAGTAACCTCATTGGACTACCATTTCGGAGAGGGAGACACAAGCTCGACCCGATGCTGGCAGTACTGGGTGGTTGGGGGTGACTGTGTGGGCGTTGGCCAAAGTCATCGGTTTCGTCAATGTTTACGACATCATCCGAGACACCGCCTCAGTAATCCAATCATAATACGCAGGCGATTCTATAAATTGAGGCCCCGCAGCCAGTCTCCATCACTACATCCGCCGATGAGCCACCCTCAACGTAAGTCCTCAGTGTGCATTCAACCTGCGCGCCCGCTTTTCTACGTGTCATGCTGATATTGACTCGTTGTGTCTTAGGCATTTCAGCAGCAGGACATTAGGCTAGTGGTTTATGCAACACCAACTCCTTGCCTAAAAGTGAGGCTTGTGAGGATGCAACCATTAAGGTGGGGACTTTTGCTTGGACGATGTGTTAGTGTTTGTCAAGCGAAAATGTCGATGCTGCGCAAAGTGTTGTAGGTCCACACCGCACTCCTTGCTAACATGAAAGCCATTACGGAAGCGTCAACTGCACGCTCTAAGTGCTGTGTCACTGGCTACGTAAGCCACTTTCGTCTTAGTGTGACAATGCAGCTTTTCAAGCTGCCACAGTGGCGCATGCGACGACCATGCCATCGAACAGACTCAGTAGGTTGTTAGAGACCAGCCCACGGATTTATGGTACTGCATGATCACAGTTGACTAAAGAAACTCCTGTGTGACAGCGACCTGCGCCATCCACAGCTCCCTGCAACCGTTTGCCAAGCTGCTTGGCGAATGGGAGGGAGAGGGCTCAATGAGCCTCTACACTCAAACCACCTACCCCTGCTCCGAGAACATCTCGATTGGCCACGTGGGACAACCGTCATTCTGGTACAGGTAAGCCATTTGTTGTCTCGACTTCCTGTCCAACTCGTGGTTGTGGCTCACTTTCAATGTGCTCTGATGTCAAATGTGGCGGTGTCGGTGGAGGCGCTAATTCGTATCCCCTCAAGGGTGCGACCACACCACATTACTGCACACTTTCTTGCATAAATGTCATTAAAGCTAAGTGGTAGGTGCACTCGACGCACTCGACAAATTTAGCACACACCTCACATTGTACCTCGATTAGCAAGGTCTTGACAG